ATGATGAATCAGTATCACCTTCAATGAAATGAAAATGATTAACATCCATGCATTTATACATAAAATCATAAATGAAAACCAAATACCAGTATTTTGCGTTATCTAAAGTGAAGAATGCCTCTTGTAAACATGTATCACATCTATAAAATCTATCTTTAAGCATCACTTGATATGTATCCTCTCCTATTTCTCTTATGTTTTTAAACTTATTTGACATACATGCAACGCGTGCCTTCTGTGCATTCATTATTTTAGTCTTTGCGTAATTTTGTGTATTCATTGCATCGTAACCATATGATCCATTAAGTGAAATCTTGCAAAATAAACTTTTTCCTTTATTTCCTTCTAATTCAGCCTTTTGTCTTTCGTTCATAAATTTGTTCGCAAATTCATTAAAACAAGTGTTTTTAGTAAATGTTAAAATTGATTGAATATCATCGATGATAAAATGAAATCTGTCTATTAGATACCATAGATAATAAGAAGAAAATGGTTGATATTGGTTGTGTGTTGATGCTAACTGAGTTAATTTTCTCTGTTTCTGGTCAACTGGTAGATTGTTTGATTTCATGTAATTATACATAAAACTGCCAATTGTTTTTTCATCCGTGATAATATCTAAGTTTCTTATTATCGGTAAAAAGTTTATGTAATCATTAATGTATTTTTCATCAATGTGACCCTTTACTTCAGCCACGAATAAAGTATTTTTTTTCTTAATTATTCCCAGTGCTTTTGCTTTCTTTGTTGCTGTATCACAAATGATAACACCATTCAATCTTCCCGGCATATACATTTTATGGTCAGTATATTGAATGAAATCATGAGGATTAGATGAAAATGATGAAGGATATAATGAATTGAAATCAACTCCAACGAAATGAGTCATAATGTTGGAAGTGTCCTCATTTGATACAGTTTTAGTTTCTGGATTATATGAAAGTTTATTAATGTGCGTGATTCCTTTAAGATTAACACGATGTTGAACATTTGATAAACCACCAGTAATTCCATTACGGAGAATGTGATAAGCTTCAACTGAATCTAAAGTCATTGGTAAATTATTTTTTAATGTATAATTTCTTAAATTGATTCTTAAACGTTGAACATCTTCATCTTTATTTGATTTCACGACATTGCAATAACAACACATTAACTGACAATTTTCTTTGGTATGTGGTTTTTCATTATCGATTCTATCCAATGTTGGTTTATTTGCATATGTAAACGCTTTACCACACATTTTGCATTTAGATGAAAGGATTAAATCGTGATAGTATTGAAAATCATCCATTGAAACATTATTTTTAGTATCCCTTTCTGCTTTTTCATCTTGTTTCTTATATGATTCAATTTTATATTTCCAATACTTTTTTGTTAATTCAAAACTTGATTCCACATTTTCTTCTGGATATGTTTCATTAGGATTAAAGTCTTTATATGCTAAAGCGTAACGAATCATTGATGCATTAGATGATAATGAAAGATTATGAAGCATGTCAATTTTATAAACAAATGTTTCTTCAATAATTTTATCAATTGGGTCAATCATAATTTCAACGTCTTTATTGCAATAATGAATAAAATATTCTAATCTATTCTCAAAATTTTTAGCATCATTGAGATATATTTGATAATCACTATCTGATATAGTTTCTTGAGTTAATGCTGAATAAAATGAATCTTGAGTGAATGGTTCCACTTTATATAATTCTTCTTCGTAATTCTCCCATGTGATGAATTGATAAGGGAAAAAGGATTTAACACGTGTTTTATTATTTCCGAAATCTTGAGTGAATTGGTCTAATGTTCCACCCGCTATATAATTTCTGATGTCAATAAATCTCAATTCATATGGAACGTTTGTTTTCTTTACAATGATTTGCTTAAATTGAGAAGATGAACCCAGCATTGATTTTATTTTCCATTTTGCAGTGTTTAAATCACGAAGAATTAAATTTAAATCAAACTTTCCCGAATTAAAACCAATGATATTCACTTTATTAAATTCTTCATCTAAAAGCTCTTTCATTGCTTCCTTTTGTTTCTCATTTAATGTATGGGACTTCATTAATTCTTCATATTGTTCAATATTTGATTTAGCAACTAATGAACAGGTTGAAAATAAAAACTCAATCCAATCAGAGATGAACGAATCACTCGAAGTTAAGCAAAAATTCCTCGTATACGTTTTATCACAGTCTACGACCTCGCCGCTTCGGTCTGAAAGACCTTCAGGACTCAAAGAGTCCGTTTGCGGCTTTAATTTAACCGTTGATGATACCATGAATGGTTTTAAGTAAGCGTTCAAAGTTGCACATTCAGAAAGTAGAAGTTCTTCTTTAGTCTCTAATGTTTCGAAGTCAAAAGTAATATAATATCTTGTCGGTTGATAATATTCCTGCAAATTATGAGCTAATAACCACTGATATATCTTCTGTTTCGTGATATGTGGTGCATATGGTTGTTGTGTGTTTTGCAATTGAACGTCTTGAATTAATCTTCCATTATTTTCTTTACATTTCTCACAATGCTTTAAAAATCTTCTTTGGTTTTTCCTTTCTGGATCATCACGGATAGAATAAACTTCTTCTTTACAATATGGGCAAACTTTATATCCTGTGAGTGCTTCAACGTCTGTTATTCTGTCAGCGTGAAGTTTTCCACATGGACTTTGTGTTAATAAAATATTTACTGTTTCAAATTCTGGATCTATCATTATTGATTCCACTAATGGAAAGTCTACCTTATTTATGTCCACGTCTTCTGGTTGAGGATCACAATAATAGAAATCAATATTAACGTTTAACATTCTCGCTAATCTCTCACTTTCTGATGAAATGTCAAACCCTTCATATGCATCTATTGCTTCATTTAAATAACTTCTTCGAGTTTTAGGATTAACACCATCAGGAATGTTATAGAAGCGTTTAAATAACCTTCTACCTTCGGCTCTTATTTGATTATCATTCATTTTAGCTGTTCCATTTTTATTCATTTATGTAAGAAAAAAAAATTAAAAAATAAATAAAAATAAAGTTTATTTTTTAAAGTCCGAGACTCAGAGAGTCCAGGGCTAAAGCCCATAAAATGAATTAAGAACACATAAATTTTTATCATCTGCGACGTGACGAATACATTTTAATTTACTCAAGAATGCGTACCCTGATACATTAAATCTAATTCCTGTCTTATTTAATTTCACAACTTTGAAAAGGAATGTATGAATAGCTATAAAATGATGAGAAGATGTTTTATGGGTTGTTTCCATTTTTTCTGAAATAAATGAATAAATATAATGTTTATAAGTTTTCATATCTTTTATGTTCTTAATAACGAATGGTATAGACCTTTCCACTTCGTCTTCCTTCGGTGCTGTTCTTTCATATGAAACATTATTGGTATCTTCAATAATGAAACCACAATCGCATAAAATTTTATATGTACCAATGGTTTCTTTTGATATTTTATCTAATAAATCAAAAACTTTATCAACACCTGTGCATTTATTTAAATAATAATTTGTGTAAATATCATGATCTTCTTTCTTAATCGTATTAGTTGCATATGTCACGTTTTTAAGAGCTTTTTTGAATTTTTCGGAATCTAAAGGTGGTGAAAGTAAGATACAGGGGTATTCTTCATTATCAATAAATTGTAACTTATGTTTACGAATAAATTTAGTACCTTCTTCTGAAAGTGTTTCGTCTATTTCACCATCTAATAAATTTTGTGTTGATTCTGAGACATAATTTTTATATCTTTCTTCATGAGATTTCTGAAGTGCTGATTCTGAAGCTGGGATATTCATTAAACCCTCTACTTCATTTTCATTATATTTTTCAACTTCTCTTAATTCCTTAATTTTTTCATCTATTTCATCTCTTATTTTTTCCAGTCTTTCAATTTCATCATATTCATCATCATCTTTAATCCGTTCTTCATAATATTCGGGGAAAACATCGGGTTCTTTAGGTTTTTCTTCTTCAGATGTGGGATATAAGAAATTTATAACATCATCTTTATTCATTTTTCCATCATAATCAAATTCATTTAAAAACTCCGCGAATTTTTGACAATTTCTTAAATAATATTTATCAACCTCATAACCCGCCTCATCTAATATATCCTTTATTTCCTCGTTTGTGAATCCCAATTTTTTAACGTCGTTAGTCTTGACGCTCATTTCATACAAAATAAAAAAATAAATTATTCAAAAATGTAAGACATGAATTTTTAAAGTTTATTTTTTTATTTCATTATGGTAGTGAATCTTTTATTCATGAGGTCTTTGATTATGACTCCATTGATTCCATGAAATTAAATATTCTTTATCATTATATTTATACCTCATTAGCTTATTTTGGCTTTCATATTCATTTAATAATTCACAATCTTCATTTTTAAATTGAAGTTTAACCCATTCAGGATTTAAACAATGTTTAATTAATCGCGGAATATCTGACATCATCTATATATAGCTTCTTTTATAAAAGATAAAAATAAATTATTTTAAAATTAATGTTAATTTTTTAATGTGTTTATAAATAAATATATTTTAATGCATCGTCTATATATAGATGTAACAAAAAAAGTCACACAACCCGCACTCACCTACTACTAAAAATATTACATGCATTGTTATATTTATGCATGGCATTCATGTTACTCATCATCAGTATGAATCACCATGATAAAATCAAGCACAAATAAGATATTATTTAATAAAGGACAGGTATTCATTTGAATGAGAGTCAATCAATAGCAGAGGTACATCATATTACGCGAAAAACTTAAAATAACAGCAGTAAGATCATATATAATTTCAAACTAAAATAGAAAAAAATTGAGATCAACTAAACAAAAAAGATCTAGTTAATCAGAATATCTCTTTTCCATAGTATGCGGATATAAATAAAAAATAACAAATAGAAACATTTTTTTCACTAATTTTGCAAAAAAATTTGTTGATTTCAAAGAAAAATATAAATATTCAAACTTTATTCCCACATTATTTTGATAACATCAGCTTCCTTAAACGATTTCATGCAAATTGGGCACTTTCCATGGCATTTCTCTCGTTTGAGGCAGTTTTCGCAAAAAGTATGGCCACAAGTAGCGAGACAAAGTGTCCTGTTTATACGGCATTGCTCGCATTTGTGTTCTTTATCGGTTTTGAGACCGACCACACTTGATTTTAATTTTGATGTGGCCGATTTCAAATTTTTTGTCTCTTTCTGGATCTGCTCTAAATCTGTCTTCTTTTTATCAATGTTTTGGCTCGTTCTCCGAGTTAATTGTTCGTACCAATTATTTGAAGGTTTACAAGCGACTTGGGACTCGATTACGTCAACATCTTCATACATTTTGCCAATAGTACTCATTGCTCTAACACATTCTTCAACATCGCCTGACATTTGCGATGCAATTTCAAATGTTGAAATGAAAGCACTGAAACCATCAGAAACTTGATCAAAAAGTATGTCAATGGCTTGCCTGAGTTTCCTACTATCTTCTGTCTCGCTGTTGGCCGTAACTAAAGCTCCGGAGTCTAATTTATTTAATAAGTCTCGAAATTCTTTGTTGTTGGACGCGGCTTCGTCCTTTGACTGTACAAGATAATCGTGGAAGGCTCGGAGCTTATCTGTATCACAAACTCCTTCAATTAACTTATTTTCTGCATCTGTATACATTTTATTGGAATTTATGTATTTCGTAATAGCATTCGTTGAGTATTTGTCTTTAATAAACTTGATGGATCTCAATTCTGCAAGTTTTATCGTTGAATTTACGTATTTTTCTTGGATAGCAGCAGATTCTGCTTTAATTTCATTGATTGACTTGGTAAAATATTGACTGGTACCATGGAGATTATTTTTGATCTGTCCTAGCATTATTAATATTTGATTTGCTTGTTTTGCGTAAGAAGAGCTCGTTTTCGTGAATGATTCGCGTGATTTTCTATGAAAACTGATATATCTTTGGAACTGAACACTCTTTTGAAGGATTTCGACACTCGGATACTGCAAAAACATTTTGATTTCATCATTTTTAGCAACCAAAGCATCATGGGCCTCGGAAAGCTTTTCAACAAGGTCTACGAGTTTTGTATGGACCTCTTGGAGTGCGCATTCCTTATTAAAAGATGTAGGATTCGATTTTAAGAAATTTGGAGTGATTTTTATCAGTTGTGTGAACTCGAGAGGGTCGGAACACTCAGTTATGTATTGAATGGCTGGTGTAGTGATTGTCTGTTGGTGAAGATTTTTGAGAATAAAGAAGATTTTGCTAATATCAACTGTTTCCTCGAATAATTTGCTAATTTTCATAAGATTTTTAAGTGCATAAGGATCATCAACCTTAGAAATACTCGTATTTTGTATAATTCCCCTGCAGTAGTTCGAAATTGATTCAAATTCTTCGATAAGTCCTTGTTTTCCTTTAAATGTCACTTCTGGAAGTTGATATTCTTTCTTGAATACATCAGCTATTTGCTTAAGCCGTCCCTCGTGTTTCTCGCAAGAAGCAATAATTCCGTTTAATGCGGAGTTTACGGAGAAAACGGAATCGTTGATGTTACGAAGCTCATCGAACTGCTCCTGCAACTCTTCGTGAGCAATCTTCAGATTGGAGGGGGTTCGGTCCTGCCTCCGCTTCGTCATATACAAAACCGAACAGAGATATCAAATATTGTTTACTTGTAAAGTCAGAAAAATATAAGATTTCTTATTTGACAGTTTACAAAATAAATATTTGACACTTTACAAAAAACGAATTCATTATTAGATCAGAATCATATTGTTCGTGTTTGATACAGAAGAAAATGATGAGATTGAATATGGCAGACGAAAGTGCCTTAGTTTCATTGATATTAACTAAAATTGAGTCATTATTGTTTGATATTTGAAGATTAACATTAGATGACATATTTTTGATGTTGACATAGTTAACAAATCGAAAGCTATCGTTACTGAGATTTTGGGAGTAGTATGAGCAATTTTTCAAATTCATAATCCTTATTATAGCATGGGTGATTAATCTATGCAAAATTTACTTCTTGCAAAAGATCTAACTGATGTTTAATCCATGTAAAATAAAAACAACCCTATAAAACTTTCTCAAGATTTCAATTTCAAGTCTATCAATAAATAGAATTCAACGAAGAAGTTCTGGTAACGTCAGTGGATTTCCGATTATAGCGTATTGATTGAAATTTATAGTTCTGGCATAATGATATGTTTAAATGCTATCAATGCAAAATTTTAAGATTTGATTTATGCGGTAAAAATGTAACTCAACTAAGTAAGGATTTTTAATTGAAATTAATTTCAGAAGTTTACATTCTAATCATCAAAAATTCATTCAAATTTATGGTCAAGTTTAATCGAATTTTTTTGATAAATTTGTTGATATTATACAAATTCTTTAATAATATTTTTTTCAAATGTTCACAATAAAAAAAATCATTTATTTTCAATGTTTTCTTTCTTTATATTCCTTTGCAGAAGTGAAACCACATTCACATATGATGATGCAACAAAGACATTAACTATTAATGCAGATTCTTACTATGATTACAACAAAATTGACGAGATTTGTCCAGGAAGACCATTTACTAAAGCTATTTACACAGGAACTTACCAAGAACTTGTATCTTCAACATTTAGGAACTCAAGATTACTTACCACAGTTGAAATCGGCGAAAATGTTAAAAGTATTAATATGTATGTCTTTACAAACTGCGTTTCTTTAAGAGAATTCATTATTCCTCCAAACGTAGAATCTATTGGCCAGTATTGCTTCAAAGGATGCACAGGTCTTACCTCAATAAAATGGCATAGATCTAATATGGAATTTAATATATTTTGTTTTGCCGGATTGACATCCTTAGAGACATTTACACAGGCTGAAGGTGACAATACTACTGAAGTACCCGGAAAAAAGCATATTTACTATGAAAAGTGTTTTAGAGATTGTTCAAAGCTCAGAACAGTTATCCTTCCTCCAAATGTAGGTAACCTTGATTTGTATACTTTCTACGGCTGCAAATCTTTGACAGGATTTGTCTTCCCACCAGAACTTAAGAAATGCAGATGCCATTGCTTCGAAAACTGCGAATCCTTAACAGAGATGGACTTAAGTAACGTTGAATGGCTCGGAAACTACGTTTCAGAATTATTTTTTCAAACAAGCTTCGTGACGTCATGGGCAATACATTTAATGGATGTGTCAAACTCCCAGAACTAACAGGCCTTGAAACAAACGAATATTTCACATTTAAGAGAAGATTTTTGTATAATTGCAGATCTTTAACTCATTTTAAGATACCAAAGATGATGACAAGGATTTTATATGAGTCACTGCGAGGATGCACAAGTCTAACTCAGTTAACACTTCATGATGGAATCACATTCATTGAACATGATGCGTTTGCAGAAACAGGAATCACAAAATTAGTTATGCCATCAGAACTAAAAACAATGGAAGTTGGTATTTTCAAGAAATGTTCAAATTTGAGATCACTTGATTTCAGATTTTGTTACAAACTAAGGAGATTTCCAAATAATTTATTATATCAGGACACAAGTTTGTCTGAAATCATTCTTCCACCTAGAATGGAGTCTGTTCCTGATTTTGCTTTTTCAGAAACAGCGATTGAAACAATAACATTTCCAGAAACATTCAGACAATTTGGAAAATCTGTTTTCCTTGATTGTCCTAAGTTAAAGACAGTTTATATCTTCGGAAACTCATCTTCCTTTCAACGAATATGTTTTCCAAATGCCCTTCTTTGTCTAAAATCTACATCAATCCAGAAATATCAGGTATAGAAAAGTCAACATTTGATGGAATTTCTCAAAATTTTGAAATTATATATTGCAGCAACAGAATTTTCACTGATACAACTGTTAATCAAAACAGTTACTTATCAGTTAAAGTTCCAACAGGTTACGAAAAAGATAATTTCTGTGGTTTATCAATAACAAAAGTTGATGGTCAATGCACTCAACATCCATTTGAATATCCACCAAGAAAAGACCCTCCAGAACCTGTTGTTAGACCAGACGACGGATATGTCCCTGACATAGATCCAGACGAACCAAATTCACCTTTACCAACACCAACACCAAATCCAAACCCTGGAACAGAAACAGATCCAGATACAAAACCAGGAACAGAAACAGATCCAGATACAAAACCAGGAACAGAAACAGATCCAAAACCAAATCCAGATACAAAACCTGGAACAGATACTGAGCCAGAAGTTAGTTCAGAAAATAAGCCTACATTACCACAAACTCCGACTGCTTCAAAGAATTCAGGTGAAAATGAGTTTAACGATGAATTGCAGAAGAAGAAAGAGGCAGAGAAACAGAAGAAGATGATTGTAATCATTAGTTCTGCTGTATCTGCAGCTGTTGTTGTTGCTGCAGTTACAATTGTAGTTGTTTACTTTATGAAAAGGAGTTCTCCTCAAATAATGGATTACGAAATGTCTGATGAACTTAATCATAATTAATATAAACTATATATAGTAAAATATTAGAATGTTTAAATAATAACTTTTTTTTTCATCAAATGAGTCTTCTCAAGAACTTTGGTTTGGTGAGAATGAAACTTCGGTCAAAATAGTAGAAGTAGATTTTGCACTTAGTGTTGTTTTCGTCAACATGTGTGTTGTAATTGTATATATCTATTCAAATGCTGTTAGTAGCTAAAACTTACCATTAAAATGATATATTGTCCCTCGTTTTTTTAAAGAATATCAATACCCTCAATTTTTAACTTTTGCAACTCCAAAAACCAGGTGTTTTTCCAGAACTACCATCTAGGATGAGTCCTAGGAGCTATAATTCTAGGGTTAGATGATACCCACTTAGTACTTTTATTTGTATATGTTTTAGTGGAATTTGGTGAGGGGTCATGAAATTCGTATCTAATTTGCTATCATCTAAGCTGGTAAAAGTTAGAGAAAGCTATTTACTGGTTGTATATTACAAATATACCTTGTAATAGAAAATATAAGTGTTTGTGATTTAAATTCGCTCAATTAGCTCGAAAATTTGTTTTAATCCATGACAAACTAACATAATCCTATTTATGTGATTTCCAATCTGTTCCCAAAATATATCAGCATGAATATATATATATATTTATATTGCAATTTCATCATTAAATAGTACTTTTTTCCCTATTTTTTTAGAAATAGTATATTTATATTATAGCGACACAAGATTTATATTAAAAAATATATGTTATCGATCATCACACTCAACTGAAATTCAAAAATTTTAGATTTTTCAATTTCAATATTGAAAATATATTTCTTATATCATAGCGATTCATGTTATAATAATATGGAGAAAAATATTGTTTTAAATCTAAATTTAAAAAATGATGGGCATTACATTAATCCAATTTATTGTTTATTTGTAATCTAGTGGAAACAATTAATATTTTGGAGAAACAAAAATTTGAAATTTGAAATTTTGAAAAAAATGCATGAATCGGTAATTAAAATTGATTTATTAATTTATTAGCCATGCTTTTGATGTTGGTCTTATTCTTAAGCCGATTTAAAGAATTAATTTTTCCAAATCGTGTTTGACATTAACACATATAGATATATCAGGAAAAAAGGTATCACTTATCAAGTTATTGGTTTTTATGTATCTCCTAATTTGCCTCGTTCTGAATACAATTCTAGTTAACGAATTTAAATAACTATATGAAGAATACATCATTTTGGTTTTATTATTATTAAAATGATATATATTAGCTATGTATATGCTTGTAAGAATATTATTCCGTGAATTGGAAACAGAAAAAATAAATTTAGACAGAAATGCATATCTTTAAAAAATAATATGAAATTTAGCTTTGATATTATTATCCGATAAAATATGCATGATAATTACTCCGCAAATAAAATTTAGAAGCAAGTTGTGACGGTTTGGGCGGTTTTCAATGGCCCACAAGGAAGGAAGTATCGTTTTATCAGGCAACAAGAGGTCTTGAAATGAGTAAAGGACTGATCACCCTTGAAAGGTTCAAACTTGCTTGCGCGCCGCAGTCTTAAAAATGATATGTTTCACTTCTGGTCGAAAATTTCAACCTCTATGACAGTTGTTGGATGAACAATTGTGTAGCGGGATGAAATCTGAGTGCGGCCTGGGGCTGCAGCATCAATCTTCCCGGCATCTTTACCGCAATCATCTCTTAGATTGCACACAAAGTTGCGAACGAGCAGCTTTCTATGCGGTAAAGATGCCGGTAAAAGAGATCCGTAGTGATTCTCTGCTGCAGCGTCAATCTTCCCGGCATCTTTACCGCAATCATCTCTTAGATTGCACACAAAGTTGCGAACGAGCAGTTTTCTTTGCGGTATAGATGCCGGAAAGAGAGAGTCGATGTGAGGTTCTTTTCGAGGGCTCCTCGAATGAGACACTGTTCCGCATTGATAACTTGAACGCGGAAGTTTTGACCGACAAGAGTGTATTGTGCACTCCTGTCGGTCGCAGTGTCTCATTCTGGGAGACATTGCCTCTGCATGTCTCCCAGAATGGAACAATGTTCCGCATTGATAACTTGAACGCGGAAGTTTGACCGACAAGAGTGTATTGTGCACTCCTGTCGGTCGCAGTGTCTCATTCTGGGAGACATTGCCTCTGCATGTCTCCCAGAATGGAACAATGTTCCGCATTGATAACTTGAACGCGGAAGTTTGACCGACAAGAGTGTATTGTGCACTCCTGTCGGTCGCAGTGTCTCATTCTGGAGACATTGCCTCTGCATGTCTCCCAGAATGGAACAATGTTCCGCATTGATAACTTGAACGCGGAAGTTTGACCGACAAGAGTGTATTGTGCACTCCTTCGGTGTCGCAGTGTCTCATTCTGGGAGACATTGCCTCTGCATGTCTCCCAGAATGGAACAATGTTCCGCATTGATAACTTGAACGCGGAAGTTTGACCGACAAGAGTGTATTGTGCACTCCTGTCGGTCGCAGTGTCTCATTCTGGGAGACATTGCCTCTGCATGTCTCCCAGAATGGAACAATGTTCCGCATTGATAACTTGAACGCGGAAGTTTGACCGACAAGAGTGTATTGTGCACTCCTGTCGGTCGCAGTGTCTCATTCTGGGAGACATTGCCTCTGCATGTCTCCCAGAATGGAACAATGTTCCGCATTGATAACTTGAACGCGGAAGTTTGACCGACAAGAGTGTATTGTGCACTCCTGTCGGTCGCAGTGTCTCATTCTGGGAGACATTGCCTCTGCATGTCTCCCAGAATGGAACAATGTTCCGCATTGATAACTTGAACGCGGAAGTTTGACCGACAAGAGTGTATTGTGCACTCCTGTCGGTCGCAGTGTCTCATTCTGGGAGACATTGCCTCTGCATGTCTCCCAGAATGGAACAATGTTCCGCATTGATAACTTGAACGCGGAAGTTTGACCGACAAGAGTGTATTGTGCACTCCTGTCGGTCGCAGTGTCTCATTCTGGGAGACATTGCCTCTGCATGTCTCCCAGAATGGAACAATGTTCCGCATTGATAACTTGAACGCGGAAGTTTGACCGACAAGAGTGTATTGTGCACTCCTGTCGGTCGCAGTGTCTCATTCTGGGAGACATTGCCTCTGCATGTCTCCCAGAATGGAACAATGTTCCGCATTGATAACTTGAACGCGGAAGTTTGACCGACAAGAGTGTATTGTGCACTCCTGTCGGTCGCAGTGTCTCATTCTGGGAGACATTGCCTCTGCATGTCTCCCAGAATGGAACAATGTTCCGCATTGATAACTTGAACGCGGAAGTTTGACCGACAAGAGTGTATTGTGCACTCCTGTCGGTCGCAGTGTCTCATTCTGGGAGACATTGCCTCTGCATGTCTCCCAGAATGGAACAATGTTCCGCATTGATAACTTGAACGCGGAAGTTTGACCGACAAGAGTGTATTGTGCACTCCTGTCGGTCGCAGTGTCTCATTCTGGGAGACATTGCCTCTGCATGTCTCCCAGAATGGAACAATGTTCCGCATTGATAACTTGAACGCGGAAGTTTGACCGACAAGAGTGTATTGTGCACTCCTGTCGTCGCAGTGTCTCATTCTGGGAGACATTGCCTCTGCATGTCTCCAGAATGGAACAATGTTCCGCATTGATAACTTGAACGCGGAAGTTTGACCGACAAGAGTGTATTGTGCACTCCTGTCGGTCGCAGTGTCTCATTCTGGGAGACATTGCCTCTGCATGTCTCCCAGAATGGAACAATGTTCCGCATTGATAACTTGAACGCGGAAGTTTGACCGACAAGAGTGTATTGTGCACTCCTGTCGGTCGCAGTGTCTCATTCTGGGAGACATTGCCTCTGCATGTCTCTCCCAGAATGGAACAATGTTCCGCATGATACTTGAACGCGGAAGTTTGACCGACAAGAGTTCATTATCTAATCTTTTTTGTCATATACCACAACCCACAAAGACAAAACCTTACATAAAATAGGTAAACTTTGGTTTTCACTTAATAATGTTTATTTTTAATTTTTTGTTCTTTATATAACTTTTTCTTCTACTAAACTATTTTACAGACTCTACTGAGCTATATCCTCACATATATACCTGTGACAATAACACATATATACTCCCTTCATATTCTGATCTCATGACATATTACAGCACAAACTATAATTATACAACATACCTCATAAAGTCTGATTTTACCCTATCTAAGCGTTCAAAACCTATTTTCCCCGCGTAATCTGATTCTTCTGGCTCTGCTGATTCGATTTCTGCTGTCAGATCGTGAAAATATGCATCACACAATGAGATAAACACAAATACACAACTTAATATTTTCCTTAAAATTGTCAATTCCTCGATCTTGACATATTTATTATTTCCTCCGTTTTCCCTCACAAATATATTTAATTTTCTGAATAAGACGTATAATAAAATGAATATCTTAAAAACTAAAATACAAAATTAATGTTGGGTAATGACTAGATATAGTATGCACTTTTGAATTCATACATTTTTTGAAAAAATTGTATTTTCAAAAAAAGATGTTGTTTTGAACGCTTAGATAGGGGTAAAATTAGACTTTATGAGGTATGTTGTATAATTATAGTTTGTGCTGTAATATGTCATGAGATCAGAATATGAAGGGAGTATATATGTGTTATTGTCACAGGTATATATGTGAGGATAGCTCAGTAGAGTCTGTAAAATAGTTTAGTAGAAGAAAAAGTTATATAAAGAACAAAAAATTAAAAATAAACATTATAAGTGAAAACCAAAGTTTACCTATTTTATGTAAGGTTTTGTCTTTGTGGGTTGAGGTATATGACAAAAAAGATTAGATAATGAACTCTTGTCGGTCAAACTTCCGCGTTCAAGTTATCAATGCGGAACATTGTTCCATTCTGGGAGACATGCAGAGGCAATGTCTCCCAGAATGAGACACTGCGACCGACAGGAGTGCACAATACACTCTTGTCGGTCAAACTTCCGCGTT